TTACTAAAATGCTGAATGCGATATGAAAAATGAAAAAAAATTGTATTTAATGAAGACCATGACTTTTTGGAGGATAAATAATAACTCAAAACTTGACTTGAAGTCGTTAAGAATGAAGTGTTCAATGTTAAGTATCATCGCAAAAGTCTGTTTTGTCAAAAGTCGTTCTTGGAAAAGAGTTAAATGGATTTTACTCATTAATTTGGGAATACAGAGAAATGGGTTGTTTCCAAATAAAAAAAATGGATATTATATCCTAAATATGAAGGACTTCATGTAAATCGCAATAGTTGTTGAGAAATTTGGTAGCTTCAGCCCAAATTATCAGAATTGTTTACTTAAAACCTATATCAATGATATGGCTTATTGTATAATTTTAAATTTATTTAGCAAATTTAAATTTCATGAGGAAAATAACATTTGTTAAAATATTTGTTTCGTTTTCAACTCACGAATGTTCACCCTTTATTTTTCACACACACAACCACACACAAAAAAATGATTAACATAATGTTTAAAATTTCGTTTAGTTCTTTTGTTCATTCAAATTTTTTAATACAACCACATTGGCAAAAAATGAATGATTTATAATTTAATAATGTTTTAATTTTGTAACTTTTCGTTTAAAGTAACGTTTTCATCATTTTTAAACCATTGGCTTTTTTAAAATAGGATCAAGATGTGTAATTATCATTTTCTTTAGAAACAGGACGTTCATAGTTTTGAAGGCAGATGCAGTTAAATGGTCATCTTTTGAAAATGGCTGAGGCAAATTCGATGAAAATGACCTTCAATCATTTTACGCCCACCTTTTGGAGAGTCTTATCTGATGTACAGACAGATGGGTCATTTTCTTTGCTCATGGCTGGTCTATATTTCATCGTCACCTTTTCAAGAATTCCTTGCGTTAAATTTTAGCAAGATTCAAACTCGGTCTATATTTCCGCAATGAAGTATCGTAACTATTTTTCATTGTTCCCAACAACCTCCATTTTTATTATTATCTTATTTTTCAACTCGTTTCTGAGCCGTTGTACAATTAAAAATGGTTAACTTCTTCAATGAAAATTCGTAAATAATTTAAATCGAACCAAAATATTTTTTCATCCACCCCCAAAAGATTGATCTAGTTCTACATGCCATGCCTTTTCTTAATATATCATTTTCAGTTAATTCCCTTTAAAAAGCTACAATGGAACTAAAGTTTTTCATTCACCTCTGCTTTGGCCATATATTGAACATCTGTAACCTTTGGATCAAGTGATATAACATTACGTCAACGAACGCTTTTTCCACTGCGCCATGTCATTCGCCTTAAACCCCCATCTCGAACAGGATGTTCTCATTTGTTGTCATCCAGAGATTTTGAATTAAAAAAAAAATAGGATTGGAATAAAACCCCCACAAAGCTATTTATTTTTGCTTAAGATAATTTTATTTTTTCCAAACGCTTTTCGAATTTGAAACAGGAAAGATGGTCGGATGAATAAAAACAGGTTCTTATAATTCATAGAATCGAACATTTACCATCTCGAACATTTCATTTTTTAATGTCGAAAATGTAAAAAAAATAAGGAGATCTGGTGAATAATTGGTCTTCTAAAAAAGGGACCTGAAAGGAAGGGTTAAAATCGAGTTAGATATTCAGAGAAGGAAAATGATGTGAATAGAGGGGAAAAGGGGAAATGGGAAGGAAGAACATCACAAGAAAGAAAGAAATAAATTAAGAAAGAAAGAAAAGAAAGAAATTTTCTAAAGAAATGTTTGGATAAAATCGCGCAAAGATGCAAAGAACTATAAAGGAAAAAGAAATTCGTAGAAAAAAATATCAAAATGAAATCACGAAGAAAAAAAAAATTAAATAAAATCTGAAAAGAAGAAACTCAAAGTGAAGAAAGAAAGAAATTAACTAAGAATCTGTGAGTTAAATAAAATTGTGTTCAAAAAATGAAAATTTTTTGGCTCTCATAAAAGAAAAGTAAAGAGAATGAAAAAAAAATAGAAATACTTAACGTAAAGAAAGGGAAAAAAAAGAAATTGTGTGTTGGGGATGTAAGTTCAAGAAATAGACTTTAACAAGAGATCACATTCATGAAAAAATTTTAAAGAAGAACGGCCTGTCTGATTTAATGTGGCACTTACAAGATTCAAATGACTGTTATTATACAATCTACTGATAATCAATTTTCCATGTTCTATATGGCAAAAGCAGTGAAATTAAATTTTGCAAGAGTATTTTTTCTCCCCATATGATTCTATAATGACTCAAACAATAAAGAAACCTTAGATCCAAAATAAATCTATCTGCCAGTACGAAAACAAACCTCCCCCCGTCTATGATTATATATATATATTCATATATAGTCTATGTTCTCTCTCTTTCTTTTCTCAGGCGTACTTATACGCTCTTGTCATATATAATAAATAAATTAAAATAAAAATAAAAATTCTGAGTTGGCAGGACTTTTTAATCAGTGTATTGTTTCTAATTGGTCAAATTCTTTGAATTAAAAGACACTTGTTTTCTATTCTGAATCGATGGAGGTCGTAGATATATTGTCACAATTAAATCAAATCTTAAACCTAAACTAGCCGATCAACTTGTTTTTGGTTAATGAAACCATCTACTGCATTCCGAAAGCTTGATATATCCATTTGTAGAGCTGGTTGACCCGGTCTATCACACAATTAAGATAAGAAACGAGGAGGATTTCAAATTTTGAAGAAAAAAAGCAAATCAATTGAATTTAAAAATAGCCAATGGAATATCTGCAGGGTCCATTCAGTACAAGTAATTTCTCAATTCCATAAGCGGTTCTGTTCTTCCACCGTAGTTTATAGCTTTATTTATTTTGAATAATAAAATAGTTTTTTGAACATTGAACACAATGTCAACCCTGACATTTTTCTAAATCACCAGCTTGTATCGAGTTTGACAAAGAGAGAAAGAGAACTAGAAAGAGAGGGGGAAGAGAGAGAATACACCCCTAAAAAATGGTGACCCGATGCTATTTCACTATTACAAACGTTTGCGACTTAATTTTTTCAACTTTGGATAATTAGTAAAATTTTTATCCTCCGACCGGAGACCGGTAGATGAAGAAATAAGAGTCGATCGTTTCAAAACAGACCCCGAACAAATAAATAAATAGACAAATAAATAAAAGCGGAACGAGGTAAAAAGAATTTCCTTTTTCGACTCTCGATAATATCGACTTACAGGTACAACACTAGTTTATAGATTTACATATCAATCTAAAAACTACCTGTTTTCCCCTGCCACCATCTCTCTTTTTCTCTCTTTTCTCTCAATTTGCTTTTTGTATCTCTTCTCTCTCTCTCTCTCTCTCTCTCTCTCTCCTGGGTATTTTATATTTCTTTGCTTTTATTTTCCATCCCGGAAAACAGAAAGAGTATAAAAACACAATCGAGATAGATAGATAGATAAATGATAAAATAAATAAATAAATAAATAGATAGATATTAGATAGATAGATAGATAGATGATTGAAATAAATAAATAGAACATACATATGTTAATTGCAGATATATATGATCAATTATTGTCAATGGTATCATTTACGTTCTTCTAATATATTCGTTGTTCAATCATTGAATGACAAGGGTGGCTCCAGTATAAAATATATAGTATACTTTTCCGAGTATATTGATGATAGCTAGCTAGCAAACTGAGAAAAATAGATAGATAGATAAATAGATTCATAGATCCTTAGATAGATAGATAGATAGATAGATAGATAGCTTTGAAGAAATGTTGTGGACAATTAACAAAGCAAACTTCAGATGGTGGTTCTAAATTTTTATTTTTTTCATTACTAGAGAATGTTTGAAAATTTATTTAATTCAGCCTTTTTAAATATTAACCTCAGATAACTTAGCTGTTAGCAAACCGAGTTAGACATAAAAACCTTCCTGGAGCCGAGCCAACAAAATCAACAAATTCATTCTGTTTAATAGCAATTCATTTCTGAATTGCAAAATATGTCATTGCCTTACAAAACAAAAATGGACGAAAGATTAATGTAAACATTACAGAAAGAGTAAAGAGATAACGCATTAAAGAATGTGTCGTTGTCCAGTTGAATCATTTTTTCCTTGATCATTTTCTTTCCAATATTACGTCGAACCAGCTCAAGCCGCCTAGATAAGGGTGACTGCGATAAGTCTATACCAGGTACTGTAAACTTGAATGGCTATAAATTGTTAAAAAATATAGCCGAGTTCTAATTCTAATTTGGTCCATTGATTCATCGACAAGAAAATATCTTTAAAAAACGTACAAAAAATAATGGTTAATCATTAAAAATTTTATCAATAAAACTATTAAATACCTCTAAAATAAATTAAATAAAATTGCGTACAAAATATTTAAATTTCACATTAAATATCCCATAGAGGTTTTATGATATGCCACTAAACAAAAAACAACGAGAACTATAAAAAAGATTTTAACCATTCTATAATATATTTATGCCTTTTAGTTTTTCGTTCACTGTCACCACAATTTTTTTTTTTTGGGGGGGCTTTTAAAAAAACCTCCCTTTCTTTTAAATTTTATTATTCTTACTATATAATAGCAAAACTATTATCGAGGCCTCCCAAAACCTTCCCTGAAACTTGACATTGCTAGTGTACCAACAGACGAAAACTTTTTGCTTTAAAACAAAATGCTTAACATTTTATTTTATGGAACAATTTTTCATACTATTGGCTTATATATCGTGGCTCACGTTGAAACACTGGTTCGTACGATCACCAAAGTTAAGCAACGTCTAGCCTGGACAGTACCTAGATGGGTGACCGCTAGGGAATGTCAAATGCTGTAGCTATTGGATGAGTGAATAGTATGGCTTATGGCCATATCAACCCTGTTCGCGTACGATCACCGGTTAAGCAAAGTCGAGCTTGGACAGTACCTAGATGGGTGACCGCAAGCGAATATCAAATGATGTAGCTATTGGATGAGCGGGTAATATGGCTTACGGCCATATCAAGTTGAAAAACCGGTTCGCGTACGATCACCAAAGTTAAGCAAAGTTGAGCTTGGACAGTACCTAGTTGGGTGACCACAAGCGAATATCAAATGCTGTGGCTATTGCATGAGAGGGTAGTATAGCTTACAGCCATATCACGTTGAAATACCGGTTCGCGTACTATCACCAAAGTTAAGCAACGTCGAGCCTGGACAGTACCTAGATGGGTGACCGCTTGGGAATACCAAGTGCTGTAGCTATTAAATGAGCGGTTAGTATGGCTTACGGTGATATCACGTTCAAATACCGATTCGCGTACGATCACCGAAGTTAATCAACCTCAAACAAAAAACAAGCAATTATTTTGTGATAAAAACGCTATCCAAACATGGTTGAGCGAAAGATGCCTCCCAAAAGCTAAGCAAAATATTAAGAAACAGAAAAACAAAGAAAAAGTACTGAACTGTTATCTAATATCAGTCCCCCTATATTGCAGTGATTGCTGGACAATCTCCTCAAAGATGAAGAAGAGCCTTGAAGCAACAGAAATATGGCCTACAGAAGCATACTGAAAATACCATGAACCAGACATGTGAACAAAGACGAAGTGAGAGAAAATGGAAACAAAAACTTAACATCAATTGAAATTTCTAAGGTGAATAATGAGGAAAGAGGGCTTGGAAAATTAGATGCGCAGAGGACAGATTGAAGGCAAAGAGGACAGAGGAAAACAATGTATAATCTAACTTGAGCAAATAGACGGCCGAACAAGTTTTAGGAAAGGTAATAAACAGACAATATTTATTAAGAGCTATAAAGGACAGGAAATTGTGGAGAGCCATAATCACAAACGACCTGAAGAGACACGACACATAGAAGTTTCATTTTACGTAACCTTTTTGGGTTGGAAGAACTGGATTAATCGAACCCACCCAACTAAAGGAATACTAATATATATATATATATATATATATATATATCCTTGAAAATGGCTAAATGTATAGCCGAAAGCGTTTGGATAAAAAGAACATTCGGACAGTTTTTATATAATTTATCATCCGAAAAGAAAAAAAAATATTAGATCGCATGAGAAATTGTATAAAAAACTAAATAAAATCACCTTGTCTGTCGTATTCAATGAAATGTGCATAAAAGAAGGATTGCTGCCTAAATACACACACACACACACACACACACACACACACACATTACATATATATATATATATATATATATATATATATATATATATAATTATTTATTTTTAAAATTATAACATAAATATGTTATAAAATCACTAGAAAAATATCCATTTCGTTTCAAATCAAGTGATGATGTTGAATGTAAAATAAATGGTTTTAAAAGTTTCAAATTAATTAACGATCCTTCGCAAGGGGAGAACGTTGTTACAAAAGCTAGAATAAGATTTGCTGCTTTAACTGACCCTAAAGAATAAAAGTGACCATGTACTTATGAATTCATTACACACTTTTTGGTCAATTATCGGGGTAGATATTTCGACATGGTATTAAAAATATGACAAAATTCAAAATATATATTTTTATAGAGTAAATTCATGTGTTTTATCGAGGGTATTAGTGTCAAATGAACTTCAGCAATCTCAGTAGTAGTTCCGACAGGACATACATACAAGCGGAAAATAATTTAGCATCAGGTTTTATTTAAAATTCGATATAAAAAAGATTTCGCTACCAGCTTCTCGAGCCGCCCAGGAATCGCATCAACTGATTTCACCAGGAACTCTTGTGGTTTCGAAGACATGCCTTCTTGTATTCACCCAGTTCTTCCAAAGTCTTGTTTTGATAGAATAAACTTGCTCTTTTATCCTCAAATATAAAAAAAGCGCAGGTTTTTAAGTCAATACACCTGGCTGGATACTGAAATAAAATAAATATATATAAGAACTTTAACTCACCCTGTATATCGATTTAATATGGTAAAGTTTTACAAGAATCGATCAGTGACATTTACGAACTAAAATTCGGTTAATTAAAATAATGAATATAGAAAGAAAAGAAAATCCTTTGATTGCTTATTGTAGAGGAATTTATTATTACTTCTGTTCAGGAAACCGTTAAAAATAGATAAAGAGATAAAAAAAAGACGTTGATAGGCGTCGTATCTATTTCAGTTTAATTGTGAAGCTCAATAGTCGGCCATATTAGTTTTTGGTCGAAAAGAAACCACTTCTACTTTTGGCAGATGGGTAGATTTCGATTTGCAAAATCAGATTTCTTTTTATTAACGTTCACCCAATACAAGGCCCAAGAACCACTCAATGTAGAGGGTTACTGTGAGGTGTTGTATTTGCGTGAGAAAGGACAAGTGAAAAATGATTGGGAACTTAAAAAGGAAAGACAACAGGAACTCTAGAAATGAAGAGGTCAAATATTTATTTAATTGGTGAATAACATTTCCGAGCTCAGTAGGAATATATAAGTATGGCGTAAAGTAATTTTATAAGAAACCATATTCCAGTCCTAACCAGGAAACAGGGTAAATCTTTCCAGAGTTAAAGATTGAGGAGGAGTATGAACCGGGCAATAGGTAAACCCGTGAACTCTTATTGAGGAAAGAGAAAAAAGTAATTAATGAATAAAATTCCAGAATTAAGGCGGCGACGTCAGGAACAATAAGTAATAAGCCTTAGAGAGAGCCGTAAACCCAATCCTAAACAGGGAATAAAGATGAAGCTACATTACAGTTAGAAAAAAAATGAGTAGGAGTATGAATCGGGCGATAGGCGAATCTATCTACTCCTAGAAGAGAAGAGAGGAATCTGAACCGGGCGATAGGCGAAACTGTTATACTAGATCATACCTATTTCTATTGTAAATAGACTCTCCCACAGATAATAAGTAGTCGTAGTAGCGGTCGCCAGTTGGGCTCAGTGGAGTTGAGTGAGTCAATCGATGTCGGACATTAAAGTATGAGCCCCACAACTAGATTGCTGCGTCATTAATTATTATTTCAAGTTCCTAACGTTTTGTACGTCGGACCTAATTTAGGATCGACTTAGTAAAATACAAGCCTCCACTGTGAAAACTACTCTACAACACATTTGGCGACGAGGGATTCGTTTCTCATACGGGAAAAGAAAAAGTTTTCGTTCACTCTATTACAGAAACTAACTAATCTCACTGAAGAGAAGAAGAAGAAAAAAATGAAATAAATAGTAAATAAAATTCTAGAATTCAGACGGAGATATCAGAAGTATAGAGTTGAAGTAGACTTTAGAAATAACCGCAAACCTCACTCTAAAATGGAAAAAATAAACCGGGGTGGAGTGTGACCCGGGCGATAGGCGAAACTATCTACACCTATTGGGAGAGGAGAGAAAAAATAATTAGTGAATAAAAATAAAAATGGCTGACACTTACTACACCTAATTCGAAATTAAATATTTCCCTTATTCTTATAAATACGTATTAGCTGAATACTCAAAGTAGACTTTCGGAATTCAGTTGCTTTGAGCAGTAGGAGAACCATCAAATGGTTTTCTTATGAGCCGTTAAATACATTAATCTATTTAAAAAAAAAACAATTAAAATTCACACAGGTCAAATATAAAGACTAACGGTAATTGTTTACTAAATACACTAATCCATTTAAAAATCAATGGAAATCCCACAGGTTAAAACAAATAAAGAAATTATTTATTAAAGAAAATTGTTTGTTAAAGAATGAGATTAAAGAATTGTTTGTTAAAGAATGAGATTAAAGAATTGTTTGTTAAAGAATGAGATTAAAGAATTGTTTGTTAAAGAATGAGATTAAAAATAAATCCACTCTAATATTTGGATATTCAAATTTGTTTGAAAGACCCGATTCCAACCAATTTCAAACATAAAATTGTTTACTAAAGAAAATTGTTTACTAAATTAAAAATTAAAATTTGTACACTAAATTAAACATTAAAAAATTATTTACTAATTTAAAAATAAAAATTACTAAAATTGTTTACTAAACACATTAATCTATTTAAAAATCAATTGAAATCCCACAGGTTAAAAAATACTAAAGAAATTGTTTACTAAAGAAAATTATTTTTAATGAGATAAAAAAAATTATCTTATCTTATATTTGGATCATTAAACTCATTAAAAAGACCTGATTTCAAATTTACGCTTCATCCTCGCAATTTTCTCGCCTCGACCACATTCCTTCTCCCCCAGCTATGGGTTAAATAGAACGTATCTGGAGAAAACATTGTTATTCTCGAAAACAGTGTTAATGAAAATTTTTACTAAAAAAAAAAAAAAAGAATAAAATAAAAATAAAATTATTCTTGGAATCCAAAATATGCTTTGGCTTTAAAGAACCCACAAAGGGTTGATAAGTCGTAAAAAATATTCAATCAACAATTACAGTTATTCTTTGTTTAATGACTTACCTATTTATCCGGATTTACGTTCAGCTATAAAATCTTCTAAAACAATGAATAAGTAATTTAATAAATCTAACCAGTCGGTATTTTAAGTTTTAGGAAAACCTTGATTACGATTGTTTTCTCTATTTTCACAATGAAAACAAAAATAACTAAAAAATTGAAAAATAAATGAAAATTTACTTGTTCTGTATGCAAACCGAAGTAATGTACACACTATAGACCTACATATAATTAATGCTATAGACTATAACAGTCACAACAGTGACATAAATAACAAAGATTAAGATACTCATCGCCAAAATGTATGTGGAATAAAGATACATGCTGTTTTAAACTTATGCTTCTATGACAAATATCCGAGCTGAACAGGACCGTTGTTTATTCCAAGGCTAAATTGTATGTTTTCCTAATAATGAGAAAAGGTAAGTTGTGGTGGATGTATTTTATTTAAATTTTTAACTTCTTTAAGTCCTGCTAAAATTTTGAAATCGCAGCAAAGCAAAGAAACTTTTGCTCACATTACAAGAATAAGAATAATTACAGACACATTATGTAGTACCTCAGGGACCTTTTTGCAGCCCCGAATATCCACTTAAAAATACATTGAACATATTTCTAAATACGCTATCATAGTCATCTCATCTGCGTGTGGTTATGGTGACGGATATATATATATATATATATATATATATATATATATATATATATTCTCAGAATTAATCTGTATAAAAAGATAATACAAAATAAAGGAAAAAGAGACAATAGGAAAACTAAAACTACATATAATTTTCCTATTGTCTTTTTTCTTTATACACACACACACACACACACACACACACACACAC